CCTCACTCCCATCACCACCACAGTCCCATGACCACACTCCCATCCCTGCACTCCCATCACCTCACTCCCATCACCACCACACTCCACTCCCATCCCTGCACTCCCATCACCACCACACTCCCATGACCACACTCCCATCACCTCCTCACTCCCATCACCACACTCTCATCACCACCTCACTCCCATCACCACCACACTCCCATTACTGCCACTGTGATGTTATATTACAGTAGTTTTAAGATTTATGCAGCAACTGTGCTTTGGTGAAATAATTTGACTGTGACTGTTCAGAAAGCAGATCATTACTATAATCCTGATAGAGCTGTTACACACAAGATAATTAGAAATGTGGAATTTGATGAAGATTTAATGACAGGCAAAAGTGCAGAAACGTCTTCAAGGGCCCTGTGTCTATACTCCCTTACCTGTCTGAACGCTGCAATATTCATGTGATCGGTCCCACAGCTGTTGTGATCCCCTTTTCAGAGAGGACCAGTCACAATGCACAGATTAATGCTACCCTTACAGCAAAATGGATTTGTTACCTGTTTCAATAAAGAACAGTAATGATTGAGCTCAGAATGCATCAGGTTAATTATTTTATCTTTCTGCTTGTAGCACCTACAGCAATAAAACATTTTTCTTTCATTCATTGTAAACACAGAATACACACCATCAGGCAAGTGCCATTACTGAATGCTGTCCACACTGTCTGTACACTGCTTTAGTTTTGACTCATTTGCCTATCCCTGCACCTGCTTATGCTGGTTTTATTTGCCCAACTATTTATTTATCTTATTGTATAGATGAGATTGTTACACTCCTCTTGTTAGATACTAAGGGCAAGAGCTATAGTACTTACTCATGTCTGTGCTTGTGAACCGGTGCTCCAACCACGCGGGATGTATTATACACCTCCACGATCTAAGGTTGGAATCCAGGTGGCATCACTTAACATCTGAATGTCCTCATCAGGGTACATCTAAAATTTAAGCAGAATGGAGTGGCACCTCTGTTTGGCAACATACTGTAGCTCTGCTTTTTCTGTAATCTTTCTCAGTGTGAGACTAGAACCTTGGTCTGATGAACTGCAATCACGTCCTCAACACCGTATCTCTTTATACTGAAAGCTTTGAGTCCTATTTTTTATAAGCACCTTGTAAGTTGACCTTTCCAGTCCTGTGATTCATGTCTCATCTCTAATGAAGGGTGGTTTAATTAGGAGAAGTCAAATTTCTAATCTCATTTATGCTCTTCCACAAAAATACTATATCTCACCTCTAACCCCATTCACAGGTTTTTTTGCAATCTTTATTTTGATCTGATCAGAGACAGACGTTTCTAGACCTTACCTTTCAGTTCTTTGTTGTTCCTGGTCCGTCTGCTATACCCCCTTTCCTCATGCACAGTCTTCACAGTATCTCTGGTGCCTTTGGATCTTCACTCAGGATGATGCCCTGTGCTCCCATGAGAAGACATTCATTTTGAATTTAACCATATAAGCAACACACTCATGTTTACAATGATAACCTAAAGAACCATTTGTTTAGCATGTACTAAAATAATTTGGGCAAATTCACTTGATTGCACTCACTTTTTTTCCCTTCAACTTGGAAGACAATGAGAGGAAATACTTTTTTCAGACAAAGTAAATCCACTTTTTCAGAATGAACAGTGAAACAGACTACCACTACATGGTAGTGACTTTAAAACTGAGAACAAAAGGCACTTCGTTAAACAGGGGGGTGGTTAGCATTACCATACTCCCACATGTACTGTATGTTTTTGAATCTGATTCCCTGGATTCTTTTAAGAAACGTCTGGGCAAGATCCTCAGATCATTTAGCTACTACCAACCAAATAGGTTAGAGGAGTGAATTGGCTCTTGAACTCTTGCTAGTAAGCTTTCTAATGTTCTTCAGGTTTAATAGAAGATGTGTTTAACTATGGTGATTTTGCATGGCTTTGTCACCCTTTTCACAGATGGCTGAGACTTCAGCAGTTTTCCTGTCAATGAGTACTTCCCCTGTCTAGAATGAGTGTTGGCTGGAGATTTGTTAATCATATACTGTAAATTTCTAGTACCTGTAAGTATGTCTACCTCTGCTGAAATATTTAACATGAAAATCCGAACTTTGTCCTTTTATATATACTGATGCATGTCCTCTTCTTCCTAAATAGACACCTCGGTGAAATATTTATTTAATAACCCAGTCATTTCTATTTTTTTTTTACAAAACGTTTTACATTTTCAGCTATGAGACACTTGCAATACACCTCCCTGTGACCTTTACTGAGTGCTTAGCCTTCGTTACATACAGTAATTCATCTCTCATTGGCACTTATTAATCTACAGACATCTACATACAATAATCCCCTCTTATTAGCAGTTTGCAGCATTTCTCCTGTGTTTGGCCTTTTCAGTTTGCAGCAGATAAAGACAATTTTCAGCATTAAACAGGTGATAGCTAAGTAGGACAGGATTTGTGGCAGCAGAAATTGACATTCCTCAATCTTCAGGATCAATAAAGTCTTATCTATTTATTATCCTCCCTAAATATAGCCTCTTCTAACATTTTATAGTTCCTGTTTCAAATACAAAACACTGCTGAGGGCTGTGGGTGATCATTGGGCTCAGACAATAACAAATCTCAATAACGTTCCTTGGAAAGCTATGAGGAACGACAATATACTAGCTTTTGATGTCAGTAAGCAGCCTAGTAGCCACCCTAGCTAAGGAGCTCTCATAGAGACACCTTAACCAGCTCCTTACTTTTTCAAGGCACTGCATATGGTCAGTCCATTTCTTCAACTAGTTTGCAAGATACAGGAGTGTCAGGACTCAACCAAACAATGTGGACACAAAACAAAAACATAGAAATTCTATTGATTGAATTAATTTGGAAAAACCAGGCCTACTACATCGTGGCAGATTGTCCTGTGGATAAACCATGATGCCCCTGGTCCTGGCACTAAAAGGACACCCAAATACACCTCCTAATGCAAGGATAATTGCAAGTGCATTGTTCTCTGATTGCATAAGTATAATTCGGTTTGCAATGTGTGCATTTTCACATGTCAATTAGTGGTTAATGTGTAGCTAAAGGTGTGTCACCTGCACAGGTAGGAATTGTGCATAGTTTAGATTATTGTCAGTTTGTAGGACTAATTGCAGCACTCAGCTTTGGGGTTTTACATAACTTTTATAATGCAGCTCATTTGTTTTGTAGGATTTGTTTTTATTACATCTTTCCTGGAATACATTAAGACAAAGCCGGGAAATGGCTGTCTGTGCTGTGCTGTATAACTGAATGTTGCCTGAGCAACAGGATTGCAGAACTCTAGAATTCAACCTGTCCTCGTGTGCAGAGGGAGGGGGGGTGACAGGACTAAAAAAATCAAGCAAGGAAGCAAATGTACTTTTATTAGAGAAATGTGGAAATATTTATGGAAATGCATGTACATATATTAATGACTTTTTTCTTTCCATTGCCATTTGATACTGTACATTGCTCATATATTTACTGTAGGTAATTGTTGCTGTTTTTCTGTTATAAAATTAAGAATGAGAGGGATTCATTTTACCCTTCTAACTTTTTTGGCACTTAGTATCTGATTGATCCAAGATTCTCATCCAGCTGTGTCCTGAAAGAAACCAGGGTATTGGCTTCAACAACATGGCTGAGCAGCTTATTCCACACTCCCACCACTCTTTGTGTAAAGAAATGCCTCCTGTCCTGACTGAAGGATCTTATCCAGCTGTGTCTTGAAAGAAGCCAGTGTATTGGCATTAACAACACGGCTGGATAGCTTGTTCAGGCTCCTTCAGACTTTCATTCTTCAGCCCGGGGATTTATAATGTATCTTTTTTTATCTCGATATTTTGTATCTTCAGAAAATTCAAATAAATTAAACTTTAAAAAAAAGAATCTAGTCATAGGAATATTTAAACATTTTGCTGTAATACCAGTATTTGTAAAACTAGATCTTAAAGTCAATACCTCTTGTTAATTTTTGCCACAGTGTTTGTATATTTGATATTTCTGTTTAAAATGTAACACGGCTAACCTGGCAGCTTTCATTGTTCATGTCAGAGAAATCCATACATGAAAACTAGTCCAGGAGAAGACTTTGGTCTGATTGATAATTATATCTGTGGAAAATTCCAGAATCTATTTAATGGTTAATCGGTTGTTCCCAAAACATTGTCATGTTAACTTCAGCTGGTGAGACTGAAAACAATCCTCATCCCAAACTATAAAAGCTTAGAAAATTTCATTGGAGCCAAAGAGACAAGGAAAAACACTGAACAATGGTAAGAGTGAGTCGTTTTACAGAAACAGAGCATTACTTTAGAAGTTGAAATCTTGTAAAAGTCTTCTAAGAGCTGTACTGAATACAGTGTAGATGTACTTTTTGGACAGACGGAGTCTGCAGTTTCAGCTGCAGTCACTCCAGGGGTGTGAGACTGAGTCTTGCCCTGCGCACACTGAGGTGTCTGTGTCTGTGTTTCCTGCAGAAGCTGCCAGCTGCACTGCTGCTTCCGGTGCTCCTGCTGGAGCTGGTGGTGCGGCCCGGTTCTGGTGAGACCACGACCTGCCTGCAGGGTCCCCCCGGAGCCCCAGGGGTGCCAGGGAGAGATGGCAGGGATGGAGCTCCTGGACCAAAGGGAGAGAAGGGTGACCCAGGTATGAAAATAAAACGGTGAAAGGTCTTCCTGTTTTCTTTCTTTACTGAATGAAGTTTTCTTGCTACAGCCTTTAGTCAACAAGAGACATTGAGAGAGTCTGTGGCACTGTGGGCAATAACACTGAGGGCAACCTCTCACAACCCTGTACTGTACATGCTCTTCCTCCTCAGACATTTCCTTTCCTTGTTCAGCACACCTGCAGCTCCTCAGAGTGAACTGTGCCACAAGAGTTAAGTCTTGTATTCTGATAGATTGCTGATAGCCTTCGACATGAGAGCAGATCCATTTTAAAAGGCCCTTTATTTTGCAAACCACAAGTATTTTCAAAAACACCAGTGCGGACACTTTAACTTACATAAGATACAAGATTTTGTTTGGCAAGTGAAAAGTTTACCTCATGATTAAGTACTAGATTTTAAATTAATGATCTTCCAGTGATTATAGCCAAACGTTTACTGACTCAGAGTGGAACTTTTATTTTACATTTGAGGTCCGCGAGGGGAAAAGGGTCATGCTGGTCTCCCAGGAAAAGCTGGACCCCCTGGAGTGTCAGGAAATCCTGGAGGGCTGAGACAGGGGGACGTTTATGCCTTCCATGTGGGGCTGGAGAAATCCTACCCGAACGATGGAGCACCCATCACATTCACCAAAGTGTTCTACAACGACCAAGCTGTCTACAGCACCGACACTGGAAAATTCACCGCTCCTGTGAAAGGGGTCTACTTCTTCACTTACCACATAACTGTCTACAGTAAGGATGCATGGGTGACGCTGAAAAAGAATGGTGGGATCGTGCAGTTCACTTTCATGGATCACCTTGAGAAAACAGTCCAGTCCTCTGGGGCAGCAGTTTTGATGCTGGAAGCCAAAGATTCGATCTGGTTACAGGTGCACAGTGCATCCAATGGGCTCTATGCTGACTCCAATGATGACACAACTTTCTCTGGCTTTCTGTTGCAAGGTCTGGAGCACTAGAGCACAGATCACTGGACATGCAGACATCTCACAGCTACTCACCATTAACTAATGCCAATAATATTGAAATAGGACAGTATCACTTTTTTTCTAAGCTTTAGCATTATAAACACTGTTTCAAATACTCTTAATGAACAAATAAAAAAATACATACATGTAAAAATAAAATTTCAGCAACTTAATATTTTGAGTGTTTCCTGTATTTTTTGTGTATTTTTGGTAAACTCACTACATTTGAATACTTTCTGAAATTGAATCAAGCCTGTAGTTATCATTTGAAATTGTAAGAGTAATTTCCCAGCCCCTACAGATTCAGAGCTGGGACAGTGTGGCGAGGAAGAGAATCTCCGGGGAAAAATAACTAAACTTGTGGTGGGAGGATTTTGAATATCAGTAGAAAACAAGTGCTCTGAAGTTTCACTGTGTTTATCTGTCACTGGGAAACTGATGTGTCCTCTGATGGATCTTTCAAATAATAAACTGTGTTTGTTTAATGATGCAAGAGTAGCCAGATCATCAGCCACTGACTGAAGAAAATTTCTCCTTAAGGTCTGGGCTTCTGCAACGCTGGTGGGTTGGGGCACTAGGAGTTAGGTCTGGGGCAGTATTGGCTAGCTGAAGTCAGCACTACGGTAGATATTGGCTACATGGAGTTAAGGCAGGAATCATATTGTAGTTGGTGGGGATAGAGTTGTGATTTTCATATTAAAGGGAACTAAGTCCAAACTCCTTAGACCATTTAATCACGGTATTAGAAACTTTTACAAATTCCGAATTGAGCACAAAATCATGACCTTTGAGAAAGTGCTGGATAGTCACCATGTTGTCACAAACCTCTGGTCTTGGCGTGCCTGCCCAGCAGACAGTACAGACGCCGTGGCTACCAAACTGGTAGAGCAGCGATGTTCTGAATTAACCAATTTTCGTATTTAATGTGAACTCTCCGGAGGACGAAATTAACCCGATTTTGTAGACGTGGTATACTGTATCACGAACACTGAAACATAAACAAAAAAATAAATAAACATACACATTTACAAGTATCGAAGCAAACACACTAACTAGCACTTTCCCGAATTCGCGATAATAATGATAACACCGCGTGTTGGAAAAAAAAGCTAAAATAAGTTTGCACAGCCCGTCTCAGGGGTGTTCAGGAATGGCGTTGCTTGATGACGACATGCACTAAAACTCTGGGAAATGTAGTTTTCTGTGTCGCACTAGTGTAGTCGGTAAACACTCATCTGTGACACTCATCTTCACTTTCCACTGATGAAGAAACGTCATTTTCCATAACGCTGCTCGCCGTCAGTCTAAAAGAACAGTGGGCTAGTTTTGTTTAATTTAGTCCCTAGGCAACACAGATATAGCTGTTTGAGTCGGACACTAGGACCCAGTGGCTGACGCTGCTGAGCAGTAGCAGATTGCCGACCATTTGTAAAATTATAAGTGTCTGGCTTGATCCAAGGGCGCTGCGGGGCAACTGACTCTTTACAGGGACAGAGCGGTTCCTTTGCCAAGCTTGGTTTGTCGAGGCGCACTGCATAGCTGTGAAACAAACAGCCCCCCTTCGTGTCTGTTTCTGAGAAGGTAAGTGTCGGCAGAGGTCAAGTGAGTATTGCTCTGGCTGTTTCTGTACTGCAGGTACAGTATGTGCAAACAGGACAGAACTTGAGGGACGCGTTTGTTGACTTGGTGTGACTTTTTTTCTTTTTAATTGTTAACATTGGTGATGGTGTTGCGAAGGTTTAGGCACGATAGTGAGCGTTTCTCGTTTACATTTACACGTGGGTACTGTCTGCGCGTTTGAAAAATATTCTGTAGGGAAAAAAAGATCAGTAAGCTCAACCAGCAAAACTAATTAAGGGCAATTATTATTTGTATGTGATCAGACCAGATCTTAAGGAATAAGAGCAGACGTTAAGAGTAACTGAAAAATCTTCGGTAAATGCCAAATGTTACAGCAGTCGGGTTCAGAGTGCAGAGATGACTCGGTGCACCTAAATAGTTTAAGCCTGAAATACACTTTCAGCGAGTGACATACTCGGACACGAATCTTCAATGAGAAGCAAAAAAAACATTCGCATGTTTTAACTATTATTTCTATAAATAAAGTGTAACGTTTTCTGGGCACAGGGTGCTTTGTTTATGAAAAAAGGTGCTTTATTTTGTTCTAGTTATTCTAAACGAGCATTATTTGAATGTATAATAGTTACTCAAGTTTATGTAGCCCGTTTCTCATGTGGATAAATTCCCAGATAGAAACAGAGTATACTGTAATCCTACAATTCTGGGGTTCTTCGCTGTGTGAAATCACTTGACGTCAGAAGATTTTCTGTGGGAACGCACTGCCTCTGGACAGTGTCTGGGAGAACCGACCCACCGTGACACTGCGAGCTGGGCTCAGGCAGAGGGCTCGTCAGCGTGTCCAATTATATTCACTGCCAGGGTCGCCAGTACAGAATACATCCGCAGTAACTTGTATCCAGGAAAGAGCTTTTAACAAACGAAGTCATCTTGTTATCAACTTAATTGAACAATTTCTCAGTGCAGTTAAGTAAAACCCTGGACCTGTTCCTTAGCCTTTCTTTTCGTTATATCTACAGTATCTCTGACAAAACCTTTGGCAGCATTTTATTTCATATTTAAGGCTTAGAAAAGGCAGTTGTATGTTTTTTTTTTGTTTTCTTGGGTGTCGTACGCCAGTGTAATATGTATGTCCAAATGATCGGGTTATTATAATATATCCTGCAGCAGGCTCTGTGTATTCAGTTTGAAATGACAGATGAGATAGACATTTGTGGTACACAGAAAGCTCCAGAGATTGTACCTCCGAGTCTCCAGGCGGGCCTTGTTGTTGTGGTCCCTCTGAAAGAGCCTCGTCTCTGGTGCTGAAGCGCCTGTTTCCTCCCCTGTAGCCCTGTTTCCCGCTGCGATGGCTGTTCTTGGGAGCTACTGTGAGTCCAACGGCTCTGTGGCACTGGTGTGGGTCCAGGGCGGCCTGTCTCCCTGCTTCTACTTCACCCTGGTCCCCGCGGTGCTGCTCACCCTCTCCCTCTTCTGCGGCACCGTCCACTGTGTCTGCTACCGCAGGTACGGCACAGCCATGGAGCCCAAGTTCGTCCCGCGCTCCAAGCTCTACGCGCTGCAGCTCTGCGTCTCGGCGCTGCTGCTGCTGCAGTTTGTGGCGGGCGTCGTGTGGCGGGCGGCCGGCCCCGGCGTGCTCCCTGGCTACGCCCTGGCCTACGGCTGCCTGTCTGCGGCGGGCTGGAGCTGCGCGGCCGCCCTGCTGTGGACAGAGAGGCGGCGGGTGCTGGTGCAGGACCGAACCCGAGGCCACAGCACCGTCCTGCTGCTCTTCTGGGCCCTGGCCTTCGCTGCCGAAAACCTGGCCTTCGTGTCCTGGAGCAGCTCCCTGTGGTGGTGGTCTCTGGAGACCCGGCGTCAGCAGGTGCGTCCCTGGGCCTCCGAGACGGGTGTGCAGCTGTTGGAGGAGAGGCCGAGTCTCTGTGGAGGAGAAGCTGTTGCCGAGGTGTTGTGATGGGAATGTTGTAGCACATTTTCCAATGCCCAGTTTTTGTCTGCAGGCCAATGTTTGGGACTGGATATTTCAAATTACCCGTTTTGATCAGGTAAAATCTGCAATTTCACAGCAGAGCGTCTTATTGGCAGCTGAAGTCAACCCCATCGCGCCTCAAAGCTGATGAATTACTAAGCTGTGTTTACCTCCTGTATACCTGCCATGTAGAGAGCCAGGGCCACTAGTCTACTTTACAATGAGCTTGACGCTGTAGCTCTGGTGGCAGATGCAGATACTGTGTGCTCAGAGCCCCCTGACTTGATGCAGAGCAGCAGGGGGGTCCCCAGTGGTCAACACCACTGGTGCTGCTCCTCTCTGAATGCCACCTAGAAACAGCAAAGCTGAGCTGAGTTTTAAGGGGAGCTAAATGTAAAGTGAAACAGAAGAACTTAACCATATTTAAGAAAACATTACTGGAATCTTTGCAAGAAAGTGAATCTTGCAGAGAAGTAAACTTGTTTTTAAGTCGGCTTTAAAAGCATAGCATAGTTTATTAGGGGTAGTAAAAGCATATCAAATTGAATGTATTGCACAATATATTGTTTTTTTACAGGTAACAGACCGGTTAGGTGAGTTTTGACAGTAAGGAGAAAACAACACTCGTTAAAAGCAGAGCTTATCTTATTTGTAACTTGATCTAGTGTAAAATATGATTATTTGTAGTTTGGCACTGGATAAACTCACAAAATTAAAATGAAGAGTAAAAACATTTGTATTTTCTTGTTATTATCATGATTAACTTCCTGTTTGTGACAAGGGGGTATTTTGTCCTCTGATAAGAATATTGGGACAGCCCCACTGAGTGCCTGCCTCAGCATGACTAAGCAGAAAGCACAGCTAAACACAGACAGCATGGACGAGTTCTGCTGAGTCACCGTCACAGTCACTGTCAAGACAGTCACAGCTCTTATTGTGTCGCTCCTCCCCCCCTTCTTGTACGACTGTATTTCAGTGGGCTGTGGGCTAGACAGGAAAACTGATTGTAAATCAGCATAGTTTTTGAGTGTTTTTTATTTTTTATTTGTGTCTTTTTAAACAAAAATAAGTATTGGAACATATAAACTAAGAAAGGTTACAGATGAGAGAAAGCCATTTGGTTCATCAAGTCTGAAGCTGAAAGGTATTATCTTTAACAACATGGCTGGGCAGCGTGTTCCATATTATGGCTGAGAATTTTATTATAAGCTTGTAATTTATACAATGTCAAATTGTAAAGATAAATTACACACAAACGTTGATGTTCCTGTTTTTGTATATGCAAATTACAATTTCATTTCATACACTGCTGTTTCACAAGGGTTTTAGTGATATAAACTGTCACCTTATGTGCTGAATTGTAGGTGTATTATTGATTTTAAACATTTTTGTACATTTTATTTTTATATATACAATATCGTTATTAAGCAGCCTTATAAATACATTAGCCCTTGAAGGAAAGAAAAAGTCTTATTTAGTTTTTAGCATACGTTTTTAAGTGATCAGTGTTTGTTTGGGTATCCTATTTACTGTAGTTACTCGTATAAGAAAGGTTATAAACGAAAGAAGGCCATCCAGTCCATCTGGCCCAGTCAGTAGTTAGTAGCGTATAAATCCCAGATCTCAACCAGCTCTTTCTTGAAGGAAGCCGAAGTATTAGCTTCTCAACCACATGACTGGGTGGCCTGTTCCACCCACAATCCCACAACACCAGGGGTACAAAATACCTCCCATTCCTCGAGTTTTAAAATCACTTTTATGTATTTTTCACCT